ACAAAGCTATTTTTCATTTAAAAGCTCATTTTTACTAATTAGATTAACAACAAACATCAAAGTCAACAACAAATTTAAGAAGTTACTAAGTCTACAAGCACACAAATCATTCAGTCTCTCCTGTACTATGATAACCAGTCCAGACAATTAGTAGAATTTGGCTTCCTGGAGCAGCTCATACAAATAGATATGCTCCCTAGAAAATATCTTTTTTCAACAATACAATTGTTCCTCAGATAGTTCAAGATGATTTTAAATTGAGCCGGATCCTTATCAAAGAAATACACATTATTTGACGGACGGAACGGACTATGATGCTGAAGTTTCAATGAAAACACACAGGAAGGATCAGCTCTCAGAGTGTTATTACTAGTTTCCACCTTCAACCTCCAATTTTCAGAGTTAAGGTGTTTTCTTGTGTGTCTTGTAATGATTGGAGGAAAGTTTCCACCAACTCTGTCCTAGCTGAAATATCGACAGTACTAAGTGGCTCAATTTCCTTACCGACATGTTCTTCTACCACTGAGTTTCCTGCCTTTTGTGACTTTTTAGCCGAAGTAGACTTATTGACTGGTGCTGATGAGCTTTATAAGCTAGACGATCCGGATGAGAATGTTAATGAAGATGAAGTGTTGACTGACTTATGTGTCTTTTCTAAGAATTTTACTTCTTTCTCTAAAACCTGTAACTCTACTTCCTCTCCTATTTGTTTGTCTTCTTCTGGTTTTAGACAGATGGTTATAGTCTCTCCACTCTCACTCATGAGGTCTTGCGGGACATCTTTTATTTTCTTTAACGTTTGTTCTTTTGTTTATGATGTTTTGCTTAGTATGGTGGAAGTCTGCCCTGTTATGCTGCAATTTTCTTTGTTTTCTGAATCTGTTCTTTTTCTGCATCTTTCATTTAACGAACTTTCTCTACATTTAAACCCCTTTTCCTTACTAATAGTTCTAGTGCTTGTTTCATTCATCTCGAACCTAGTATATCTATTTCTTCTAGTTAAGCTCCAATTCATTCCCATTATTGTCTCCAAATTTTATCTTCTTTTGCATTTTATCCTGCTTAAATTTCTCCAGATCATCTTCTGCATCCTTTTCCCTACGCCCTGCACCATTCTGGAGGCAAATCATCTTGATTTCATGCACCTTGTATCCGTGGTTTGAATTACGTCTCTGAAACAGTTTTTTGCATTCTGGACATTTCCATGCCAAATCTAAGTGCCTTTCTAAGATGTGACGTTCCAAAAAACCATCTCTTTTCAAATGGCATATCCTCGCATATCACACACATCCATTTACTCTTTAAAAGAAAAAAAATAAGAAAAATAGTTAGATATTTATGGACCTATAATAATTATTATTTATAATTTTATAACTCAACAATATATAAAAATAGTCGTAAAACTTTCGTAACTAGTAATACATGTCATACCTATACATGGTAGGACAGTTTTAAGTATTCAATACTTATATTTAAAATATTTGAAAACAACCAACATGCGTATGATAAATCTATGATCATTCAATCAAAGTTCAACGAAATGAACTGTGAAAACCAGGTTGGACCATCATCACATAGAAAAGATTTAAGTTTATCTTGGTGACCCGCTTTTGTTTTCGTTCTTGGACCCAGCTGAATTCTAAATAGAAAGTCATTCAGTCGATGGGTAACAACAAATGGACCATGCCATGGTCTCTAAAATTTAGGATTAATACCAACCTTCCGTTTGTATTGCTAATACCAGACTGGATCAACTGGGTTGAACAGCTTTTTAAATGAATGTTATGTTCATAGTTTTTCTTCATAACATCACTACCAAAATTTAAATTGATTCTTGCAAATTCACGAACCGTCAAAAAGGTATGTTCAAGATCATTCACAAAGTCAGAAATAGAACTTTTAGGACCGTCGGGAGATACACCAAAGAATAAATCTACCGGTAGATTGATTTCCCGTCCATATATCATTCTACAAGTTGACACACTCGTTCTTTCGTGTTCAGCTGATCGATAGATCATTAGAATGGGCACAAATTTATCCCAATCTTTTGGATGATTCGATACAAAAGAAGACAACACATTTGATTATATAGTAAGAGTAGATTGAGCTTTACCACTATAGCAACCAGCAAGTGGTTTAGAAGAAGCAGTTGTAGAAATTGTAAATGGATGTTTCGTTGCTGTCATCTGTCGAATGCTGGTATAAAATTCTCTAGACTATATTGCTGTTGTTCTGGGTATGTACAAAACAGTTTTACGAAAGTAAAGCGGTGTTTTGATTCTTAGATATGGAGTATATGTTATCGGAGACACTGGACCGGTTGAATTTGTATCACTGATACATGGAGATGAGATATGTACATTTGTTGATGATAAATATACACATAGGTTGAAGGCTAATGTTTTAAAAAATTAGCAACAGTATGTAGAAGCATTGTGGCAAATTTATTTCTTTTACTCTGTGGAAAGGAATGAGTAGCTGATCTTTTTATAGCTGATTATGCGGTAAGGGTTTTGCTCATTGTTGAAGGCCGTATGTTAGTTTCTGTGTCATTTGGTCTCTTGTGGAGAGTTGTCTCGTTAGCAATTATACCACATCTTCTTATTTTTATATTGTTTCCTTATCTGCAGTTGGATCCAGTAGTTTTCTGAAAAATAAATACTACAAAACCATATAAGCAAGTAAAAGATGGTAAACACATTATTATCAAAGTAGTTACAATCATATTTTCTGTAAAATTTATGTTTTATTCTATTTGTGCTAGGTTAAGCATATATTTCGTTTCTGAACTTTGATTGGTTTACATGAATACAACAATTAAATGTCGATTTATTGTAAACCTTTGCTAAAATCGTCTCAAAAGGAATTTAAACCTAACACTCTTTCAATCCTCCTTATACTAGTAGTATCTTGTTTTGCAAGTGTTTAGCAGACACATAAAACTAATCAATTATGATATATTTTATGGGTTTTGCTCATAGTTGAAAGCTGTACGTTGACTTATATAAAGCACATACAATGAATAAGCGTTGGTTCGTTAAAAGATACTATGAACCCGGAGGATGAATGGTGTCTTTTTTTACGATCCAACGCTTATCCATTTTGTCTTTTTATTTAAACTATTGTGTAATCGTCAATAAATAAACTCATCATAGATACCAGGATTGAAATTTTGTATTTGCGCCAGACGCGAGTTTCGTCTACAAAAAACAGTGACGCTCGAATCAAAAAAAGGTTGAAAAGGCCAAAAAGAGTACGAAGTTGAAGAGCATTGAGGACCAAAAAATCCTAAAAGTTTTGCAAAATACAGCTAAGGTAATCTATTCCTGAGGTAGAAAAGCCTTAGTATTTCAAAAATTCAAAGTTTTAAAAACTTAACAAGTGGGTAGATGCATGTTTATTTCTTGATTTCCATCTGTAAAGCGTATTTGCAAAGTGCAAGATTCCAAAACGGTAGAAGGCCACTGAACCAAATATTTGTAAGCGGTGAAACAGTATTTAACTGGACAACCGTCTCGGACGATTACTATTGTTTTGTGCATACCTGAAGAAGTCACTTTTATTCGACATCCACTTTTGGGAAAGTTTATCGTCTAAACAATTATCGAACATGTCTGAATTTGTAATTTCACAAAGAATGACGTCACTTTTGAATTTTCGACTCGGAACATGCGTTATCAGGTCAACTTCTTGTGTAAAAAATATTTAAGTAGTCAATAAACCCGTCTTTTTTATACCTCAATTCAGCTTCTTTTTCCTTTTGTTTATGACATTCGCTGAAATATTTCTCTAGACTCTCATCTTCATCTTTTAAATTGGCCCATAAATTCATTGCAATAAACCGTTGCTGGCCAGATAGCTCCGAGCTATAAGTAACTTCAGTTTCTCAAATCTGACACTTCGACAACCAGAGGTTTCTAAAAATGATATAAAATTATAAAGAAAGCGATATTAATGTAGTATTCGAATAATTTTAAATAACATATGAACAGATATAAAACAGAAACTGTGACGATTATTGAACTGAGATGTACGTAAACGTCATAGATACTGCTCGAATATCTGTATGATATCTTAATATAAGCCCTTTGCCATGTTGATTTTTGCCGATTGTTAAATGCAAAGTGACGTTCTATGATCTCCGTTCATATCAAAGAAAAAAACAATTCCGTTTAATATTTTTTTAATTTAATATATATCTATTCAAAGCCTTAGTGTTCGTCAAATTTTATAGACATTGAACATGTTGAAAGGTGAGGAAGGTCTCACGATCGTTTTAGCGGTCATCATTTAATTTGCAAATCTTTTGCAATATATTTTGACTATCAAAAAATTCGAAAATATCTGATATGGCTTCCTCTAATGGTTAAATATTTTTACATGTTACTTGAGTGTACATTTTTTTTCCAAATGCGTGTCTTGGGTGGTCATTGTTTCTAAAGAAGTATTCTGGATTCTGTTTTATTGCTAAATTATAAAGAGAAAATCGTCATCTATGTAAATCTTGCTAGCGGCCGAATGGATATTAAATAGTAAAGAATTTAGAATAAACCGAGCGCTGACTTCACAGACTTTAAATATGAATTTGAAACTTGCTGCTTTGTACTACACGGACAAGCTGTGTTGGATATTTTACCTGTTAGTTCACAAGTTAGTATGTCTGGGGGTAGAAATGTAACCCTACTCGGACATTTTATTTCTGATACTGCCAAGTATTAAAAGAATTGATACAATGGGTGTAAAATTCGGATTTTGACAGTATTTCTAAGTGGATTTGGTAATACTCATACATAAAATCCGGATTTTAACCAAAACGACCAGGAGAGAGTGATTTCCAATTTTGATGTAATAATTTAGTTTGTACACTTTAAAATGTTTCAAATGATATACAATTGAAACAACAACGATAACGTAATTGTTGAAATCCTGATGCGCATGTGTTTTATACGAGGTTTTATAGCTGACTTTTGCTTCCTTTTAATTAACGAAAATGGGGACAATAGCATGGATAATTATATCTCACTATTAATATATGATCAAGTGAGAAAATTGTCAACTGTACATTCAGTAAAGAGAACATTCACCTTGATATGAGTTTACTGATGTGTAGGTTATTCAAACATCTAAATATAGCTGACCTTGACGAAAGTTTGTTAACAGTTTAGATGTTACAGTATTGCATGACACATTCAGGTAAAGGCATTTTCTGCATAAAAAATACGTCTTTTTAGATTGATGTTAGTATTTCTTGAACTGTAATATTAGCAAACATTTTGAACAATCTCCCTTTATTACCTTTTCCTTACTCTTTTATGTGGAATGATTGAAAATACACTTTGTAAGAAGACGTAATTGCAAGAAAGAACAACGTAATCGTATATATACTAGTGCCATATAAAATTAAAAATATTTTTTAGTTGCATTCTTTCTAAAAGGAACAGACGAAACCAAACACTACCTTAAACCTTGATTTTTTTCATGCAGGTGACATGTGACACTCGTTCTATTGCTTTATGGAAGAAAAAATATGTGATATAAGTAGTAACAAAGCAATAATGCACGAATGGGCACACCGCCCGAGTCAATTTTCAATGTTTTTGCTCAAGCATTAATTTTTACATTTTCTTGCAAGGAGGTATATTCGTTTTAATAGAGATGACCAAGATATTGACGAAGGAACATATCTTGACGAACGGACGTAATAGGAGCAGTTATTGTATATTTACAAACGTACTTAAAATTTAAAAGATGTTATCGTGTTTAAAGTGTATTTGGATGCAATCACGTGTCGTTAACAGATAGAAATGCATTAAATATATCGATTTTAAAAAGGTTTTCACAATATAAATGAAAGACTTTTAAAGTTTCCGAAATTGTTACATATCTTACGATACGATATGGTTGTTTGTTATTGTTGAATGCATGACGAAGTGTACATCACACATAGAATTTTTAGAGTGCACCGACGACTTTTGCAATGTTCAAACAAATTTGAATGCAGAATTTTAATGATTTAAAATTATTTATAAAATTATTGTTGTCAGATCGTATGTTTGCTCTGTGTTTTTAATTGGGTATTCAAGTTTCAGACAAACTAATCTATCAGCTTATAATTAAAAAAAAAGAAAACCTATAGTTTTTTGCACCATTTAAAAAAATACTTCCTACGATGGCAAAACTTTTTTAGTGTAAAAAAATGGTCATAAGAGTAAATAAAATGTCAAACATGAACAAATTGAAGCATATTTGATGAATATACTCTTAATCAGTATCTGATTAATCAACCTGATTATTCAACAAAAGTGTCTAACACTTGATTCATATGTCATATCAATAACTATTGTGTCATAGTTTTTGGCTTCAAACTTCATTTCAATGTTAAATGATTTATTCAGGTGAGTCATGGTCGTCTTCTGTTTGTTTTTTGGACATGACGAATGACAATAATAGGGAATAATGGTTTGATGTCTTTCAGATTTTTTTAGGTTTTCGCGAAAGTCTTCTTAATATTATACCCCTTTCCATAAAATAAAACACTGATAATATTAAAAGTTGTTTCATGACATGATTTCATAATCGCACAACTTATGATTGAGCGTATATTTCGATGGTTCAACATGATATCTAGGAGTCAAGTATGGCATTTTTAATACGTCTCAACGTGAATTTTCCTTTATGAACTCAAGGTATGGAGTCAGGCGACCCATACCCAACGCTTCCCCTGATAATAAAGAAAACATATTTTTTTTGGCAGGGAAGACATACATTTGTTTTCGCATTGCTCCGCTCGGCTCAATTGTTCAGAAAAAAAAACATCATGAGTTTCAACATGTTCTTCCAGGAATGTATTTTTATCTGAGGTTAAGTTACTAACTTTTTTTAATAAATAATAAGAACATTGTGCTGAAATCGAAAGAAGGAGTGGTAAATATCACTGAGACCATAACAGGCATATCTAGATAAAGTTCCCTGTAGTCACAAACAACTTCTCCACTTGAAGCTTTATTTACAATACTGATTCACTGTTTTATTGAATAATAATAATAGAAATAGAAATTATATGTATGCAATATCTGTTGTAAAAGAGAAACGTAAGGAAACGTGTTTGTGGTGGGGTAGGGGTTGAAATTTTCATGTCTTTTGAATTTATTTTCCTTCCTCAAGATGAAGAGTTTCCTACCCCCAACCCCCTATGAGCAATCCAAAATAACTAACCTTAGATTATTAACAACTTTTGAAATTTATAAGGGGGGCCCACTGACTGACCTAAGGGGGGGCCGCTCCAGTCATGCTTCAGTGATTCCATATTTAATAAACCAAATTTTTCCCACAAAAAGGGGGGGGGCAGCCACCCCCCCCCCCCCCCACTCTGGATCCGCCTATGATCTTTAACTTTATTTCAGAAAATGGTACATACTGCTGCAGTCATTACAGTTTTGATTGGTGTATTATATTGGTTTACTACAAAACAAAATCCAGATGACGCACTTAATATCAAAGTTAATTCAACATATGACTATATTGTTGGCAAGTTATTTAAGATTTTTTATTTTTTATTTCACTTGCATTTTATAAATGTATTGTGCAATTCAATTTCTTCGTACTATAATTTCGGAAAGGAACTGTACATAAAAGGTCGATCTTCGGCCTCTCTTTGTTTACACGTAATTACAAAAGTCTAAAGTATTTAAAATATACGCATATTTTGTAACCTATCTTTGCCTAGAACGTTTTTTTTTAGCGATTTGTAACTCATTGATATTCATTTGAAATAATAATAAAAAAAAACTCTTTTTATGAGTGCCATACTTTTAAGCAAACAATAAATATCACTTAAACCCACCTCTCGCAAGAATATTCTAATGATAGTGGAATATTTATTTCTTATAGTTGGATCAGGGTCAGCTGGAGCTGTCATAGCTAGCAGACTTTCAGAAGACAATGATGTATCAGTATTGTTACTTGAAACTGGTGGATCTGAACTAAACAATGATAATATACGTGTTCCATTAAAAGTTGGTAGTTTACAATTGTCTAATGAAGACTGGGCGTATTTTACAATACCACAAAAATATAGTCATCGAGCGATGGTTGATCAGGTACGGTATCAATGGGTATATGTTTTTGTCTATTTTGACCAAAAAGTAACCTCTCTCTCTCTCTCTCTCTCTCTCTCTCTCTCTCTCTATATATATATATATATATATGGGTGTTATAAGTATAGTATAATAATATTGAGGCAATTCACTTCATCAATTTGCAGAAATCATTTTGGCCACGAGGTCGTGTTCTTGGAGGATCAAGTTCTATAAATTACTTAGCATTTGTTCGTGGTAGCAGACATGATTATGATCAGTGGGCTACAGAAGGTTGTACAGGATGGAGTTATAAAGATGTTCTACCGTATTTTCTAAAAATGGAAGATATACAATTACCAGATCTCTATAATTCTCGTAAGTAATACATGTATTTATATAGAAAGTAAAAGAAGATATATTTTAATAAAGTTAGGCTTGACAATATTTCTGTTCGTAATGATAAGATTTCATATCGTCAAATTATCGGAATTCCTTTGAGCACTACCTACACACCTAAAATTGCAGAATTTCTACTTTACTGGGTTTTTCATGGGAAACTTCAGAAAGAGGAAATCAACATTTTGCACAAATCAGTCGATATGTTATTCATAATAGGAAATACGATGATGATATATTTACTGTTGATAATCCAGACACTTTATTAAACATGCTGAAGGAACTTAAGCATAGGAAACCTTTTGATAACAGGCAACATGTCTATTTTCAGACATAACTGTATTGGTACGAAATGGAAACATTTTCCTAAATATAAGACAAACAACACGATTTCAACTTTTCCTGTAAATAATTGTTTCGTCTTATGGCATCCTATGGTGTGTATAATTTACAGCTTCAATGGACAACCGGTTGCTAGAATGTGTTCAAATAAATCTGCTTATTGAGTTTTGTAATATTTCTTTTACAGAGATACAGACTAGTAAATAATTTTATTAAATAAGTTTACAATCGGCCTCAGTATATTTTCTGTAAATATAGTGCCTTTCGTAAAAATAACATTTCTCAGGCAACCTTCAATTCATGTCAGGAATACAACTGAAATATCAAAAGATGTATTATGTTAACTGCACACATTTTTCAACAAAAGGGCTAGAGCTGAAATGATATATTTCAACTGATTTGTATGTTCTTATGTTGTGTTGATACAGGATATCCCAGGTAAGGGGTAGGGTTGGGCGCCATATTCTGTATGTGCCTATCCCAAGTCAGGAGCCTGTAATTCAGTTGTTGTCGTTTGTTGCGTTTTTCTTTGCTGTATATCATATTTGTTTTTCGTTTGTTTATTTATACATAAATCACATCTTTAGTTTTCGTATTTCGGAGCCTTTTATAGCTTGCTTTGCCGTATCGGTTTTGCTCATTGTTAAAGACCGTACGGTGACCTATAAATACTTACCTCTACTTTATGTGGTCTCTGATGCAGAATTGTCTCATTGGCAATCATACCACACCTTTTATTTTAATGGTTGATGATGTCTGGTCTCAGTATATTTGGTAATTCCTTAAATCCATTTCTCTTTGCCTCGACTATGTGTTGATTATTACTATTTATCAAAAGTTGAAATATTCGTAACACTAAGTTTTTCTACCCTCCCCATGTATCACCTTAGCCTGTATTTGGCACAACTTTTGTGAATTGTCGATTTTAAATGCTCATTTAGTTCGTATTTGGTGTGGCCTTCCAGCTGTTTCTCTAATTCATTTTATACAGCATATCATTCAAGAGGAGGATACCTACCTGTAACTGAAACTCGTGTCTCACTACTTCCTGATATTTACAGTAGAAGTGCAACAGAATTGGGATTGAAAACTGTTGACGTGAACGGCGAAGATATGCTTGGTAAGTTTCGTTTCGATATAAAGAACCAATGGTTAACCTGATATCGCAAATATTTAAGATATATACAATGATAATATCAACACAAAATTGGAAAATGACAAAACGATCCATGAAAACGTGTCAAAAAGAGAATAACAGTAGATGTTATACTACTTGCGTCGACTTCTTCTTGTATTCCATAAGGACAGCTATCACAAACACTTTTCTGAAACTTTGATTTCGTAGTCTTAGTGAGAGCATTCTCTGAAAAAATGTTGCATACGATAAATTATTTTTTTCCAACTCCTATAGTAGACAGTTCAATCTAATTATCTATATGAAGTATTATTTATTACAATCGGTATCTTCGTATTATTTACGTTTGGCAATATTTGAAGGTTATGCCTATATGCAGTCCAACATCAAAGACGGAGAAAGGTATAGTACAGCAAGGGCTTACCTCAGACCTGTTCTGAAAAGGACAAATTTACACATTAGTGTTCACAGTTATGTCACCAAGGTATTATCATTTTCTGATATTGATACGAATAATGACATATGTAGTGTTTGAAACAACCCTTCTTGTCGAGCTATATTTTTCATTGAGTTAAAGCCTTTGTTCACCCTTCTTTTTGTGTCAGCAGCTTCCGGTAAATATATTTCCTAATACTTACTCAGATAAGCTGTTGAGAATTAATTTGCGCTAATAAATACATTATTGTTGTGCTTTATGAATTAGTGATTAGTGTGTTCGTTGATTAAATAGTCGACATCGAATGCGAAGTCTCCAAATGCCGTTATTCAAATTTAGTCATTTCATTAATATGTCAAGAAATAGATAACAATAACTTGAGAATTTTTTTTTTGTGTTTCAGTATGTACTGTAGGTAAATATGCAATAAGATCATTTTGGACTACCTATTATTAGTTATTAGTTGAGTATGTCATATATCGCATTATCTTTAACCTTTGTCGACAATTACCGAATTATACCTTTCATGTGTTTTATTTTGACAATAAGTTGAATGCGAAGTACGATATGCTAACCCATCCTTGACCACCAGTCATCACTCCAAGTTGAGATACTGTACATACCAAAAGCGTGTTTTTATTGGTTTCACTTGTTTCCTTCAAGTATTTATTATCCCTTGTATTTCTATATTTCAGATTTATTGGATCGAATCCTTTCAAATGTCCTTAGCTTTCTAAACGATTCAAATCTCGAAAATATTCAATGAATTACCGAACATCACTCTATTCACTAATTTATTAAATCAATTCCTATCAGTCATTCTTCATTTTACTTTTCTAAGATTTTGATTGAACAAAAGAAGGCAATTGGTGTGGAATTTATCAAGAATAACAGAAAGACACAAGTTTTTGCCGGAAAAGAAGTAATTGTTTCTGCTGGGACAGTTAATAGTCCGAAGTTATTGATGTTATCTGGAATTGGACCAAAGAAACATTTAGAAGACCTAGGGGTAAGTCAATTTAAATTGAAAAGTTTACAATTCAGGTTCCTGAGGGTCTTTAGGTATTATTCGATTTGGAGTTTCATATTTCAAATTAAATCTTGCAATAGTTATATTCTTTATTTTATCTTCCTTAGATACCAGTAAAGGCCAATTTACCTGTAGGAGAGAATTTAGAGGACCACATGATGTTTTTTATGAAGTATAAAGTCAACCAATCATATTCTGTAACCAAAGACCGGTCGAATTCAATGACCAATACAATTTGGTACGAATTGACGGGAAAGGGTAAGCAATTTGGAAACATACAATGCATAAATAAAAAAGATAAATATGTTTTTTGTTGTTGTCACACCATCAGTGCAAGAAGAATTTATTTGTAATGTCTTCAAATCATGAAGAGGCTGGCAAACATGATGATGAAACAATAGAAATCCGATGAATTTCGAATCGAGTGAACTGGGTGCCTCGACAGGGAAATACACTCCTGCTATGCATGCATTTTGAAATTCAATCTTGTCTGGTGTGTTATCTTCACAACAAGCAATTCCACAAAACTTCCAATAATTCAAATTGATAAAATTCAGCAGATCTTATAACTAAATAAAAGGTAAGCACAGTAGGGTTAGGTATTTGGTATAAGATAGAAAATTGAATACTAGTATTTAGTGCAAATCATATCAAAGACAATATCGATATCCTGTAAAAAGAAATTAAGCGTCTGTTTGCATGAACGATAGGCTTGCATTGAAATATTTCGATTGCAATTGCTGACATTGTTTCCAAACAACAAGCCACCAGATCGTTGTTAGTGTAGTTATTATATTATTAAGGTTAGGTTTTTTGAAATTTCTCAATAATAGCTACTATATGATGTGCTTATTTTGTTTATAAGGATGGAATTCATATTGTGGAGGCGAAGGCCACATATTTGGACAAACGAAAGACAGAAATAAAAATGAACCAGAATGGCCTGATTATCAGCTCCAATTATCCAATGCTGCCCAAGATGAAGACTTCATTGAGGAAGGACTAAAATTAAACTTGAAAAGAGAAGTATTTATGCCATTCCATATTTTATACACCTTGTTACTAAGTTCACTTATTATATGTATAAGAAGTTGTACATAATTTCATTCTACATAATTTCAGAAGCATAATTTATTCCTACTGATTTGATTATTTAAAATTAATGAATATAAATATAATTAGTGGACATATCCGATTAACACAAACTTTCTTATATAATGTGTTTCTATTACATGATACTAAATATTATAAATTGTACTCATCATAAATTTAGTGTAAACCATAAGGAAAGAATGATCAAATGACTTTTTTTCTGCTTCTAAAAGATATCAGCATATATCTAGATTGCCCACAGGACTAACAACACTTTATTAACTATTCATATATATATATATATATATATATATTGCGTTTCAAAAAACATGTTTATGATCGCACATGACCTAATATAAAAATTAACAACAGAAAAAAGTAAGTTGAAAATATATTGATTTTTTGTCGATATGAGATATCAATTTAAAGTTTGTTAATCAAAGTCAGAGAGGGGCAATAGAAAATTCACGTAGGTGTTATAGTCCTTCACATAAAGTGAGCATTTTCTATAAAATACTTTAAACCAACAAAGCCTCTATTTGTGTCGAAATACCAAGTTTTCCCCGCTCTGCTTACAAAATTTCACAGACTAGAAATAGCTATTGAATATTTCGTATTAAGAAACGATTTGGTTCTTCTCTACTGTTGTGAAGTGTTATAGCCAAATATACAGTATCAAAGCAATACAAAAAGAATGCTACAGTAGTTTGTCGATGATAAAGTCTCTTAAATCCCTTAGGAGGATACAAATCAATGTAAAAACAACATTGAGGGAATCATATACTTTAAAAAGGATCGAGATCGGGTGCGTCGATTGGGTAAGCGTCTCCTGCTATGCATTTTTCCCCAACCATGCGAATAAACACTCGGTCAAAATGTTATAAACGACAAAATCGGTAAATTTACGGACTAGACGATTATTCTGGTATCTTAGGAGCTAAGACCATAAAAACGTTTTGCTAGTGAGTCATAAACCCATTTTATCGGTCAACTAATTCATGATAATGACCGAAACTCTTATGTGACAAATAAAGGCAACAGTAGTATATTGCTGTTCGAAAGTCATAAATCGATTGAGAGAAAACAAATCCGGGTTACAAACTAAAACCTATTACTGTCTATCGTTACAGCAGAACAAATAGGTAATACTGATCAATATCTGATAAACACGATTGAATAAACCTTGTTTTGTAATAGCAATCTGAAATGCAGACAAAAAACTGAAATACACGTACGATAACAAAAAAAAAAAAACCTGAAATACACGATAAATAAAAAGAATTCTTTTAATCATTCGATAATAGCAATCGGGAACACAGATTCTATTATATCTTATCCATAGCTGTTAAAAGGGTGTGTGTAGTGTCGATTTTAGTACTTTTTGTAATAGCGGTTTTGTGTTCACCAGCACACACCTGTTAGTGAAATCCGTTTAGCGTGAATATGATAGAATGTAACTTATAAAATTTGAGTATGTAAAATCTATTGGCAGAGGGTCAATTCATGCTGAGAAATGTGAGATTGTCCATTTAAAGGTTGAAATCACAAAGTTCGTCATAGCTACATATTTGAAGTCGTCTATATGTGTTACATCAAGGAAATGTAAGGATTTGAAGCAGACCTTCTAGTTTCGGCAGTATTCTTAACTTTAAGTTTTCTTGGATATATCAGATACAAGAATTCTCTGAAATGAAGGATACTTGGTGATAGAACATCATCATTATATTTTAAAGTGAAGTAAAAGAACTTTGCAAGATGCTTTTTTGTTATTTTGACTTTTATAAGGTTCTGTATGATTTGTGATTCGTATGATTACAAAACCGTGTTGGCCAGCAGGGGTGCACAATAACTACCTATTTGAATTCTGACCGTCTGTTGAAATATCATTCCTTCAATATCAACAGCATGGTTTTATTACCACTTTACTATGTGTCCCTTCACGTTTACGATTTTATACGTGGAACTTTTCAATTTCAAATATTTGAGTTTCCAAACATTGATTTTACACTTCCTACTTCCAACCTCAAAAAGTTTTAATTTCCAACGTCGCTTCTACATTTCTCAGTAGAGATTATTGTTTGTGACAAGTTGGAATATTTTTTTGATAGATATGCTCCTTTTAAACGTAAATAACAGTGATAATGAAAATCAACCTTGTAAGCATCGTAAATCGTTTCTTATTTTTCAGATTAAAGATCAGTTAAAAAAAAGAGGAAGTAAGAATGAGTTTACCATAATGAACATTTTGTCTCATCCTAGGAGTAAAGGAACAATACGCCTAAAAAGTGCAGACCCTTTTGATTATCCTATTATAAATCCAAACTACCTACAACATCCGGATGACATCAAAGTTTTAATAAGCGGTATGTTTTAAATAAAGAGGTGTGCCGCGCCTGGAATTCAAAATTACAATGTTTTCATGAACAGTCTTTTTTTGCAAAAGAGAATTATTACTACGTCAACAGTATGAACAAATATGTTTTTTGTTTTTGTTTTTAATATTGATACAGCTGATATACTTTAATCATTCTTTCCATTTTTTTTCTTTTTCTTTTTTTTTTTTTGAGGGGGGGATTATGTCTGTATTTTTATCAAATGAATTTAAGACTGTCTGAAAAGAAACAAGAAGCTGAGATAAAAAATGTTGCCAAGAGTGTATTTGTGATAAATATTGATATCAATGAAAAAGAGCCGGGGAAATATTTTAAAAACGCCTTTTATGCGGAGGAAAACAACTAGAGATGTTACTAACTGTAAAGATGATTAGCAAATAAACGTTATCTGCTGCTGAAATTTGAAATAACAAAATTGCATTGCTAAACTCTTTTTCATCAAAGAATGCATCAAACATTTGGTAAACTAAAGATAGGTCTGTGTGCTAGGTATAAGCGTTTGAAAATAATCATCAAAAATTGGGGCGTTAATATTAGACTCATATAACAAAGAAAAAGGAGATGTGGTACGATTCCAAATGAGACAACTATCCATTTGAGAAGTGGATATACCCTATTATAGGTCATCGCATTTAAGAATAGTTTAGTAGATATAACTTGAATTTCAAACTGTTGTCATAAATATATCATATATGCTTTTTTAAAATATATTGACAAATATTGGGGTTTCTGTGCGAATTGTGAATGCATTGCCTACATAAAAAGTCAAAGGAGCTACAAATCATAAAGTTGAAATTGTAATAAAAAATGTCATGAATATAATGACCGTTCTGATTTTTAAATTATATTTATATAATATTAGTGTCTGTAGTAATCTTTATTTCCATCTGAAAGTTTGGCATAGCTAATAAGAAAGCAACCATTTAATATGTGTAATAAGTTCATTCCTTTATTAGCATCAGAATTAAAACCTTCAAAGATATTTCGATAGAACGAGATACTGCTCGTATCGGCCCCAACAAGTCAAAAGTGGTCATCAGACGTCAAAGCAATCTCGGACTTATTGCAACCTTTCTCCGTTGTTCAGTTTTCCTTCGCTCTTTTGATTATAGCCAGTGATTGGTTGTCAGTGAAGTTGTTTTGATTATTAAGTCTTGTCGTCAACCAGTGATTCCATTTGTAGGAATATTGTCTGTGTAGATGTGCAATTATTATTTTACCTAAACATATATAATTTTTTGAAAAATATAATAGTATATAGATTAGCAGGGATTCCCTAAGTTGACACTCGGGTCGTTATAATCTAGCTATATAGTTAATCATTAAAGACCTTCTGGCTTTAAAAAGTCACCAAAGACGAAAGACAGCAAAAAAAGCGGTGATAATTTAGTCTGTTACAAAAATCAGGAGATGTGGTATGAATGCCCTTGAAACAACTATATCCCCCGGAGTCAAAATGCCGTGGATGTAAGCAATTTTAATTCACCGAAAACCTTCAACAATGACCAAAAACTGTAAAATGCCCCGTCATGACAAAATGTGAAACAATGCAATCGAGAAAACCAACAGCCTGATTTATTGCCAAACAATAAACAAATACACAAATATGACGGACACAAACCAGCAACAACCACTGAGTAACATGATCCTGACTTAGGACTGGCATATACAAATGTGGGTTGGGTTAAACTTATTTGTGAGCGTTCAACCCTCCACTTGCTTGGGACAGTGGTGTAAACAGCGCGAACCATAAAAGATAGTTGGAAATGGCTTGGTCGGCTCATTACATTTGCACACGAAGCACTAAAAAACTACTATTGATAAAAGAGACAAATTTATATTTCCAATAACTTCATTGCATTGTTATTTCATGATCATTTCTATGTCAACTTCCAGGCACTGGTAAGTTAATGGTCTTGCTAATATTTTGTCAAACTCGTGATGCCACAAAATTCGGAAAAAATGAATGAAAGGAGATTTCGGGTGTGCATCAATTCAACAGCAAACTTACAACACAAAATCCCAAGACATCTGGTCTAGAGTTGAAAGAGAGGCATAAATTAATCAAGATTGGAGTCTTTCAAAAGGTTTCAAGTGACAACCTCAGTGTTCAAAGGCTAGTGATAAGTAGATGAACTTCAAGCGACAACCTCGGTGTTCAAAGGCTAGTGATAGGGAAGATGAACTATACGATGTTTTTAAAATTATCAGTGAATTATATGTCTTTTCAGCTATTAAAAAATCACAACAAATTGCATCTACCCAAGCAATGAAAGAAATTGGTGCAACATTGAACCCATTTGATATTGACGGTATATGTGACAAAGATATTTTTGACAGTGATTCATATTGGGAATGTATGGTACGTCATTTTGCTGTATCTTTTTCCCATCCAGTATCCACGTGTAGAATGGGTGGACTCATCGACAAGACAGCTGTTGTTGACACAGAGTTAAGGTAAAGAAATTTTATTGGATGTGTATATATATTTATATAGGCGCTGGACAAATTAGCATATCTGACATTGTTTGGCTAAATTTGAGACGAAGTATATATAAATGATGGTGTTAGTCCTGTACAACCACAAGTTATCCGATGTAGAACGTTTGTCGTAAAGTTGTCAAATATTTAGACGTATCTATAACAGATGGTAAATGTTTAAATATTATAGAAGATATAAAATAGATTACTTCTAAGAAAATTATGATTTCTATTTTTATTGTTTCATTTTAGAGTTAGAGGCATTAAAGGACTTCGAGTCGCTGATTGTTCCGTTGCAAGACGTCAATTATCTGGTAATACAAATGCACCTTGTATAATGATAGGAGAAAAAGCTGCAGATCTCATTAGAGGAAAAGACAGCGTCGCAGAATTTAGACAAAAAATAACATCTTTGAAATTGTAATTGTTTGCACTCATATACAGTATTTTTTGGACATCTAAATAGTTTACAATTTTTTCAGGAAAATAAATACTCGTCATAAGTCATATAAATTCTTTTGAGTGTTAAATATGTCCTGTATACGAATTTTAAATTCTACATCTCTAAAAAAAGTCTAGTGATAATGCATAAATAATTGTTTGTATAGAAAATGATATTTTATAAAGGATACATGTACCCTTATTTATTCTGAATACATTTGATGCAGTCTAAGCATCTGTAATATTTGTCATTGATCACCTATTTTTATACCTATTGTATACAGTTTGTAATAAATATATCCAATGGTTTGATTTTGTTACCGATCTTTTGATATACTTTATGATAATATGTACATACATATTTCAGGAAAATATACCATGCCTAACATTTGTGTCATCGATTAGATGAGTTAAGCCCTTTTCAAATGATTTTTATAGTTCTTATATTATACTGTTACACCACTGTCCAAGGTTAGAGCTTTCAAACATGTTTAAGCCCGACCCATTCTTAAACAGTAACTTTTCTTATAAATTAATATATTTTTGTTTAGTTTAAAACATCTCAACATATGACTGTCTGTCATTATATATACTTTTCAACGCTTTTGACTTCATAAATGTATCAGGAACTGTAAAATCATTTAGGTTTCACAAGAGTGTAAGGGCATTTAAGAGTCTGTTTTTGAAAAGATAACTGTATACGTTTATTTAAGGGTAAGTCAGTTTATTAATATGAAATATCAAGTTATGTGATGTATTATTAGAAGTCCAAATCCTCAACATATTTATATAAATTAAGGCAACAGTAGTTTACCGATGTTAAAATCTGGTTACTAGTATTCGATTTATAAGAGACAAATCAAGGTAGTAAAAATTGATGAAATCGCATATACATCAAACGTGCGAAACCGTGTGTATTGACATGTTAAGTGTATCCCGATGGGATGAATTAACTGCAAATCAAATACACATGTAGTCAAAATGTCACTATTGGGAATAGGACACAATCGGTGAAATTATAGATCAGACGACTATACCGCAGTGTGGGAACACAGCTACATGTACATTTTTTTTTAAATATTTTGTTCATTCGGGAAACTATCAATCGGGGCTACGACATTCTAAATAATTTACAGCTACGGAGAAGGTAAGTGTTTTATTCGAGCCTGCGAAATTCATTCGCGAAAGCGAGACAAAGCGATCCTGGATTCCGTCGAAGGAAACGGAAAGTTGCTCACCACCATTTCTTCCTGTTTAGCGTAAGACTGCGAAGTAGGCTAGTTTTATTCACTATAATATTTTAAAATTTTGACTTAAAAATTGAAACAGGTTATTCTTTGTTTAAAACTCAAAATTCCATTTTTAAGTCATCACTCGAATGTAATTTAGATTGTTTTGTGATTTGTTATCCGTAGGATGTTCTTAAAGAAATTATATGTTTTCGCTTCTGACAAAATAATGATTATAAAAAGCAATTAGGCAAAATCGCTTGAAACAAAACAGTTGGGAGACCAAACTCAAATACGGATAGACAATATTTTGTAATAAAGAACTTGGTGTTAGTGCAATCTTTGAGAGCTTCTGATTAACTTTTTTCACAACTTTCATAGACTCTGGAATAGTTACAGCTTGACATTTAGTTTAGACACCCGTGTATCGTAATTTTTAAATATCTTTTCGGTTTTGTTTTCGTTGAGTTGGTATCTTATTTACGTATACCCTTATCTATTTCATCTGTATGTCATGCATATTTTCATATGTGTTTAATAAGTTGCATCATAAATACAAAGTTATGCAGATGATTATAATTCCTTCAACAAAATTTTTTTTTTTCAATTATAAAGACTGCAAACCTTAAATGCATTTCTACTTTTATGATCAGTCTGTTCAAATCATATCCTATACCTAAACCTCACAAATAACGACTACAATTTAAAAACAAACAGGCGTAACAGAATCTTAATATGGAGGTCTTAAAATCTACAAGTCTCACGATTTAAAACTTTAAGATTTAACTGCTTCGAGAGAAAAATTAACATATCATACTCAATACAGTGATAAGATCAAAATTTGATTACTTATATTTGTTTTATCAATGCATTCCTCATCTAAAAATATCTTTAGATAGACAGAAAGTTTGTTTCAGTAAAAAGAAAGACCAACAATGTAAACCAAATATATTGTTTTAGGCAGTGGCAATTTATATTTCGTTAAATACTACTCTGATTCTGACAAAAAAATTCTATCAAATCAAAATGCTTTATTTTAAATTGAGATGCATTAGCTACGTTTGTGGTTGTGTTTTCAACAGAAATCCAAGTATCCCGTTGAAACCAAATTTTCTCCCTTTCTAGGCAATCTTTTCCTTTATTCCTTTGAGACAGATCTTGAACAGGAGCTTTCAAAAATAAAGCTAGTACTATTCACTTTTTGCTATAGATTAACATGCTAACTCAGTGAGTATGTTGATTGCATCTTTTCCATTCTACCTGAAATAAAATATAACACATATACAGATAAGTCTGCTTCATATCTTGACTTACATTTAGAAATAAATAATGAAGGTCTGGTGAGAACTACCCTCTACGACAAAAGATTGATTTTCATTTTTCCATATTATGTACTTTTCATTGCTGTGTTGCAGCATTACAGGAGCACCTGCTTATGGAGAGAAACTCTGCATGTTGGTGCGATATTCTTGAGCATGTGTTTCTTGTATACAAGGAAACTTCACTGTATTGAACTACTAGTCACGATTTTGTCTGTTTTTTGTCGACTTCTAGGTTTTAAATTGTTCCCTTCATATGAAAACAGCACTCTTATCCTTTTGTTTTAGAAGTAAGGAGGAAAGAACATGTTTGCAAAAGAGTATGTTTATTTTATAAAGCACTATACAAACACCTCTTGCATGGGTAATACTTATGTTTTACCAAATTTTGATTCAGTCTGATGTAACTCAATAAACAATTTGAATAAGTATTTTCGCAAAGACCATCAGTTCTGGGATCAACTCAACATTGTTTGTGCATTTAGGTTCTAAGTGCCCATTAGATGATATTTCTTTTTGTCTATACGGTTGATATTAGAATTGTTTTACGATGTACGCAATGAAAAAATGTAAATATTTATTTGTTCTTAGTTCACAAAATAAATTTCAGAAGTTAGTAATCGATGTTAATCGCTGCATATATCATTATAAGAACCTTTTAGTTGTTTCAAAAAGATTTTTTATCTGAACGCATGATGCATGTCTCAGTCCGCACGGCACCTGATTCTGTAATAAAAAGGTCGGAATGCTAGGACCTCAAATGTCTGTTAGCTTCAAAACCAAATGTTCCTAAGTAGTAGTACAGTCTATGGTTGTCAACTTTGCATAGTGCAGTTGCAACCCTATTTCTATGACAAATACATAATTCAAGAACAGTAAATTTAATAAGAATGTATAGTTTAATTTTGTCAATATCGAATTACAGCTCATTTTTAAAAACGGTTCTGAAATTATCATTCCTTTCTAAAAATATATACAGATAAGTCTGTTTCATATCTTGACTTACATTTAGAAATAAAAAATGAAGGTCTGGTGAGAAATACCCTGTACGACAAAAGATAGATTTTCATTTTCTTATTGTGTACTTTTCATTGCTGTGTCGCAGCATTACAGGAGCACCTGCATATGGAGAGAAACTCTGCATGTTGGTGCTATATTCTTGAGCTTGTGTTTCTTGTATATAAGGAAACTTCATTTAGTTTCTAAGTGCCTATTCGATGATATGTCAATTTGTCTGCACGGTTGATATTACAATTGTTTTACGATGTACGCAATGAAAAAAGGAATGTATATTTGTTCTTAGTTCACAAAATAAATTTCAGATGTTAAATATCGATTTTAAGCGCTGCATATATCATCGTAAGAACCTTTCAGTTGTCAAGAAGATTTTTGTATCTGAACGCAAGACGCTAGTCTCAGTCCGCACGGCACTTGATTCTCAGATACGATTACGACTAAAAAAGTTCGGAATGCTTGGAACCCAAATGTCTGTTAGCTTCAAAACCAAATGTTCTTAAGTAGTACAGTCAATACAGTCTATGGTTATCAACTTTGAATAGTGCAGTTGCAACCCTATTACTAAGACAAATACATAATTTAAAAACTATAAATTTAATAGGAATGTATAGTTTAAGTTTAGTTATGTCAATACCGAATTACAGCTAATTTAAAAAAAAAACGGTTCTGAAATTACTTATCTTTTGTTATATGTATTGTCTTGTGCATTTTGTAGCTATTCGAAAATCACAACAATAAGTAACTACTAAAGCAATGAAAGAAATAGGTGCAACATTGAACGCATATGACATTGACGGAATATGTGACAAGGAAACATTTGACATTGACTCATATTTGGGAATGTATACTGCGTCACTTTTCTGCGACAATCTACCACCCGGTGTCCACTTGTAGAATGAGTAGCTTAAACGACAAGACAACTGTAGTGGACCCACAGTTAAGGTAAAAAAAGTGAATATGTATGCACATAATGTTTCAATGACTGTGTATATTTATCAAATAGACGATAACAATATAAATTGTGTAGGATCAACATTAAGAATATTGTTTATCTTACACCCTATCACAAAAAAGAAATAAAAAGGTGTTTTACTTCTTAAAATCATACACACACACCCTCGATGTTTTGGAATAACAAGGACCAACAATTATCTCTGAAGTTTGCTATATGGACACAAAGATGACCTATTATAAAGCATAAGAAGGAGTTGAACAAGAGAATGAGATAAAAAAATAAATTCAAATCTATTGATAAAGGCGCGTGTGCAAGAAAATCTACTTCACATTCTGTAAACATGTTCTAGTGGTAAGAAAATCATCGTTAAATTTAGGTACACGCAACAAGCTGGGTAGACCTCCTCTGGAAGAATATATATTTCCTCAAACTTTACAATTTACAACTCCAAACGAAAGCCTTTATAAAAAAAATATAAACTTACTGCAAAATACATTCTGTCATTGAGAAAGAATTTTTATACCTGGTAGACATTAAAATACATAACTGATTATTTTATCTGAACTTAATAAAGATGCGGAATCGAAATTTACCGACGAAAATACTGCTTCAGTAAATGAAAAAGAATATTTTCGAAACATTTTTAAAAGAATAAAGTACCAGAATAAGCAGCAAAATGTACAAGTGAACACAATATTTTAATTGAAAAGACAAATATTATCCAAAGAAATAAGAGATTCTACATGTGATTCCTTTAATTATAAAAAAAAAGAAAAACAAAACATTCTA